TTTTCCGCCGAGCGTCCGCCGATCCTCTCCTCCGTCGCTGCACTTCTTCTCTTTCGCCGATCATCTTCATCTCCCTCGTCTGTTCTGCTCAAAACGATTTGTATCGTTTTCGGGTGAAACCGTGAAGGTAAGGTATAAAAGCTAAATTCAATAAAAAATTAAAAATGCCCAAAAAAAAAGTTTTTTAGTTGACTTTAGTTGACCGGTTGAACCAGTCGGGTGAACCGGTTCAACCTGTTGACTCGGACCCGGTGGTCAAAACGGGCCAACCACCGGGCCGGGTTCAAAAACATTGACTGCTATTATTAAGTTGGGCAGAACAGTGATTTTTTTTTTTTTTTTGATAAGGATAATGATTAGAAAGTTAGTATGAGTTAGTTGTTAGCAATTGGTTTTCAGACCGGGTGAATATTCCACCCCCTCAAATGAGGCGCGCGGCCATCAGGTCACTTTTTAGTAGAGTTGTTGTCAAGCTCGAAACTCCAACCACTTCACCCAAGCACTTAAGGTTTGGGGTCGAACCATTAGACCTAAAAGCCGGTTCAATGACATTTATTTAAGAGGAGTGCTAGGGGCATTCGTCTTCTGCACTCTCCGGCCAACACTTTCACTTCTATTGGGCCACGTTAGTCTGGTCGATAAGAGTTGCATTCAAAACCTGAAACAAGCTTACGTGGCCCAATGAATGGGAAAGTGTTAGCAGAAGAGTGCAAGAGGCGAGTGCCCCTAGTAGGGATGGCAATTTGCCCCGATCCCCGCGGGGCCTTGTGGGGATCCCCGCCACGGGGACGGGGCGGGGAGGAATATTCCTCCCCGCGGGGCGGGGACGGGGGGCATTTTCCCCCCGTGAAATTTCGTAGGGAATATTCCCCGCCCCACGGGGCCCCGCGAAAAATTAAAAATAATAAATTAATTTCATTTTAAATTTAAAATAATTTTAAAACCCAACCCAATTCAATAAAATTTAACCCACCCCAAAGCCCAACTCAAAGCCCAATAACCCTAAGCATCCTTTTAACCCTAGGCAACCTTATTTGTTTCTCCATTTCTGCAAGTGATTGCCCCTGCCTCTCACCCTTCGACTCTCTCACACACACACACACTCACTTAAGTCATCTTTCACCTTCCCTTTTGGCCCTCCTTACAAATCTCAAACCCTAAATCCCTCAATCCCTTCATTGCCGCCTTTCTATCCTTCTCTATTCCACATGTCACCCTTCTGCCTAGAACTGGAGTCTGGACTGCTGCTGCCGAACCAAATTCGTCTGCACCACTGCCTCGCCACAACTGCGCCACGCTGCTGCTGCTCAAAGTCAAAGTTGATTTGCTGTGTTTGCTGTGATTTTTATTATGTTTGGTCCAAAAAAATGTATATTTAGATATAATTAGTGGGGAACGGGGATCCCCGCGGAGAATGCGGACAAGGGATAAAATTTGCCCCCCGTAAAAAATCTCCGCGAGGATCACCGTCCCCATCATTCGCAGGGACGAGGATGGGGAGGGCCTCTCCAGCCCTGCGAGCCCCGTTGACATCCCTAGCCCCTAGCACTGCTCTTTATTTAATTACACACAGAGTCAAGTGTGCCCCTCAAATAGAAGGAGCTACTTATATATCTAAAATATTGTGGCTTAATTAGTGGACAGATTAATTTTTTTATTTTGTTGATTAAATTTTAATGTTTTTAATAAAACTAATAAAAAATAAATTTTCATAAATTTTTAAGTTACAGCATAAGATTAATCTTACAATATGCATATACTAACTCAAAAACATTTTAATTACTGAACAAAAAAGTACCTGGGCCTAAAGGCCCACTGACATTAGCCAGCTTGCTATGTGCATTCTCCCCTCTCCTGGACGGGTTTCGAACTCGCTCCGTGTCAAAATGTTCAAAAAAAAAAAATTACTAAACAAAAAAAAAAGAGCTACTTATATAAGGGTTTATTTAATATGTTTCAAAGGGTATAAAAAAGTTTAAAGGTGAATTATTTACATTTTTATTAATTTATGTAAAAAAATAAAAAAAATTAAATTTAAATTTAATACTAATAATACATGTATAATTTTAATTAAGTGATTAATATAATAATAATTAATTTTTATTTTTGTATAACAAGTAATATAAGAACACAACTAAGGATTTATATTATTAGGCTATGCCCCAACAGCAGGTAGAAAAACCTTTTATATATAATACTAAATCAGTTATCAAAAGATTTTTATCGGAATTGACACGTGGATACCACACAATCGCAAATTTAGATTTGCGTGTGTCGCCAAGTGACCGAAATGGTTGCAAGACGAACGGGCACCATACGACTTTTTTCCACACAATCAGCGGTGTGATCTTCCACCACCCAGCACCATTCGTTTTTGTTAGGCCGTCAGGAGATTCAAAACATTACCATTCATGATTAATCGCCTAAATTTTTAATTTAATGTGTATTTCATTTCGTTAAAAGTAAAATTTTATTTTATTAAAAGTTAAAAATTATAAATTTAAGTAAAAAATTTTAAATTTAAATCGTATAATATGTAAGTTGGATGAAATAAAAATAAGAAATGATTATTTTTTTATTATGCAATCAAAGTAAAAAATAAAAAAAACATTAACATTCATACGGTAAGCAGAAACTTATTTTTATTTAATTATAAAATAAAGGTTCTTAAATAAAGAAATAATTAATATTAATGAGTCTGTTTTATTTTAGAGGTTTTATTTTATAATTTAATATAATTTAAATTTTAAAGTAATTTTTTTTAAATATTAAAACCAAAACTTAGAGTCTCGATACAAACTCCATAAACTGGAAATAAAGGAAGCCATCACCATTTTTATTTCAAGTTTCCAAATTGAAAATAAAATGTATAATTACCTCCCTAATTTTTCCTAACTTCACGTATTAAAGAAAATAATATTTTGTTACATGAGAAGCTGTATAATTTCTACTTTCACATAAATTAAAATATAAATAAATTTTCATAATAATTATATAATTTTAAATATGAATAAGTGAATAAATAATTCATGCGTCACAATTAATGTGAATCTAAAAAAAAAAAAAACAACAATAAATTTGTTATCTTTTTTTTTCCCAATTATGTTCATGAATTCGCTGTAATAAAATTTCCAAATAATCAATTTCCATTATCTACTACAATATCACAAAAAAAAAAAAAATTGCCCTCCATTTCACAAAATTTGGAAATATAAACTTTAAAGAAGAAACAATTTATTACTTAACAATATTTATATCCTTTATGTTCTCCCAAAAATATATATTTTATTTAAATTATATTGAATTATAAAATAATCAAATATAGTGACAACTCATAATTTTAAGAGCTTGACTCATCTAGTTGTGTACCGAAAATATCTTTTGTATAATTATTATTTTTTATTTTTTTTATATAATTTGATGTATCATTAAAATAATTTATTTTTTTAATTTATGTATGATTTGTGATATTGAATATATTTATTTATTTAATAATATATAAAAATTATATATAAAAATAAGACAAAAAACCTATCCAAATAGCATCACCCGTTTTGTACACTAATGTTTAGTTTGAAAATTGTTCTATAATTATAGTTATTGAGTTTTTAGTCTTTTAATATTTAAAAGTATTTAAAATATATTTAATATTTATTGCGATTTATATTAATATTATTTTAAATAATAAAAAAATAAAAACTAAAATTTAAAATACTAAAAAAAACCTGCTTAACATGATTATTATTATTATTTTATTTTTTAATAGATACCATTATTATTATTATTATTATTTTTTATTTTTTTTTGTTTGTTTTAGAGGAATGATGTATTTATCTTTTGAATGGACGAGAGACTTCCAAAATTTTCTGGGGTGGGGAGTTTCTCTGCTTTGGTATGGTTTGGTCACCGAGAAACTCTCACTGGTCGCCCTTCCCTTCTTAACTCCGCCATTTCTTCTTTCCTTCAGTTTCTCAGGCGATTATGGATCTATCTACTAAACTCCACCGTCTGCACCTCCGTTCCACCTTCTTCACCTCTCTTAAACCCTGCGTTACTTCAAACCCATCTCTCATACCTTCAAATTCCCTTAAATTCAGTTCCAGAAGACAACCCACCAAAATCACTGCCCAGATATCCACTCTCAGCGTTGAAACTTCTGTTAAGGACGAGGAAGACGACATTGAGTCCTTGTTTTCGAGTAATTCGGCGGACGAATTTGACCGGAAGCGAAATAACAATCAATCCAACAGGGGGGCATCCAGTATTTCGTCTGGCGTGAGGCTTGAAAATATAAGTAAGAGCTATAAGGGAGTCACGGTGTTGAAGAACGTCAGCTGGGAGGTCAAGAAAGGGGAGAAAGTTGGATTAGTTGGGGTAAATGGTGCAGGGAAAACTACCCAGTTGAGGATTATCACCGGACAGGAGGAACCGGATTCGGGAAATGTTATCAAGGCCAAACCAAATATGAATATTGCATTCTTGAGCCAAGAATTTGAGGTTTCTATGAGCAAGACCGTGAGGGAGGAGTTCATGAGTGCGTTTAAAGAGGAAATGGAGATTGCGAATAGGTTGGAGAAGGTGCAGAAGGCAATTGAGGGTGCTACGGAGGATTTGGAGCTGATGGGGAGGCTCTTGGATGAATTTGATTTGCTGCAGAGAAGAGCGCAGGCTGTGGATTTGGATGAGGTCGATGCTAAGGTCAGTAAGTTGATGCCAGAACTTGGGTTTTCCCCTGAGGATGGGGATAGGTTGGTGGCTTCCTTTAGTAGCGGGTGGCAAATGAGAATGTCACTTGGGAAAATTCTATTGCAGGTAATTTTCTCCCTTTCAAACTCATACATATGTTGCCGTATAAATGATGGTAATGTTTATGAGTGTGTTTGATCTTATGGATAGGTGATTTTACAATGTTACTGTAGGCTGTGGAAATTGAAGTGGTTGATGAAATTCTTTCTAAAGTTTCTAGCTTTGAAATCTTTTGTGTATGTCATCTAGTGGAATATTTTTGGCATGACTAGCTGATTACAATGTAATTCTACAGGAGCCGGATTTATTGCTTTTGGATGAACCTACAAATCATCTTGACCTTGATACTATTGAGTGGCTTGAAGGTTATCTGAATGAGCAAGATGTGCCCATGGTTATCATATCTCATGACAGAGCATTTCTTGATCAGCTTTGTACAAAAATTGTGGAAACTGATATGGGTGTTTCGAGAACTTATGAGGGCAATTATTCTCAGTATGTTGCTGCAAAGGCAGAATGGATTGAAGCCCAGTATGCTGCATGGGAGAAGCAGCAGAAAGAAATTGAGCAGACAAAAGACTTGATAAGCAGGTTAGGTGCAGGAGCAAACTCTGGCCGTGCATCCTCTGCTGAAAAGGTATGTTATGTTGCATGACTATGTGAGAATCAAACATTCTGTTCTGAAGCATACTTATTCCATCTAGAAAGAACGTTAACTATTCCTTTTGGTTGTTATTAGATAGAACAGACTTGTCATTGTAGTAGTGATATGTGGAACGAAATTTTGGAACTAATGATGTGGCCTAAGCCATGTCATTAAATGAGTTGAGGCATGCTATATCACGGGTCCCAATAAACTAACAAAGTGAAGTGAAGAGAGCCAATCATTAAATAACATAGGGTCCACCTTTTAATATTTTAAATAATGTGACTTATACCATGTCATTAGTCTCAAAATTTTGGTTGCATTTATCATTATTCTTTTGTAGATACTCATTATGACATGTTAACCTGTTGTTGAAAATACCTTCTTTCATGATCGAGTTTTGAACTAGTCCTGAAATTTTGTTGTAGTAACAGCATAGAATCATACATTCCAAACGAGGGCCTCAGTCTTTCAAAATTCAGAGTTCCTTTCAATACAACTGTATCAGTTCTAGAACCTCCATATTTTCCATGGATGTGATAGTCTTTGGAGTTCATACTTTCAAACAGTTTCACCTAGAATTGTTGTATACCACTGAATGAATCTTCTGACCTTTTCTGATCTTGATACTGGTTGGTCGTTGAGAATTTATTCACACGCACACAGAGACTAGATTCTTTTAGTTGTAATGTGGCATGTGGCATGATCATTTTCTATTTTCTAGAGTCTTAAGTTCCAATTTGCTTGTCTGGTTGGTAACAGAAGCTGGAAAGGCTTACAGAAGAGGATCAAGTAGAGAAGCCATTTCAGCGGAAACAGATGAAGATCAGGTTCCCTGAGCGTGGAAGAAGTGGCAGATCTGTTCTCAATATTAAGAATCTGGAATTTGGGTATGAGGATAAGGTGAGTTAGTGCATCACCTTGCTTATGGGAATGAGTGCTAGCATAGTTTTCCTTCTTCATTTATATTTTTATGACATGTTTATGCTGTGTGTGCCAGTTGCTATTTAACAGGGCAAATTTTACAGTTCAAAGGGGAGAGAAAATTGCCATTATCGGTCCCAATGGCTGTGGAAAGAGTACTTTACTAAAACTGATTTTGGGTTTAGAGAAGCCAAGTAGTGGTGAAGTGCTGCTTGGAGAGCATAATGTTCTGCCAAATTACTTTGAACAGAATCAGGTGTGTAACAGCTATGAGATCTGTTGTTATTACATTTGGTGACTCTGGTGATCTTGACCCTTGCTGCTAGTTGTTGAGATCTATTATCAATCAAGCAAACTGTAAGTACTGACTGCCTGACTCTGCTTTTTTTAGGCTGAGGCTCTTGATCTGGACAAAACAGTGCTTGAAACAGTGGAAGAAGTTGCAGAGGACTGGAGAATTGATGATATCAAAGGACTCCTTGGGCGCTGCAATTTCAAAGCTGACATGCTTGACAGAAAGGTTTCCCTTTTGAGTGGTGGCGAGAAGGTAAATTTTTTATGTGGAGTCCAATAAGTTTGGCTGCTCTTTTAGCCTTTTAAGGCTTCATACTAAATTTTGAGTTGTGCACTTCTGCTTTTGCTTTGACTATTTAATTTATAGCTTCCATGTTTCCTGGACAACCAGTTTATATTGTCTTTGGATACTGGCATGTCGCATTGTTTTTGAAGTATTATTTGTCTGTTTCTCTATAATTTATAAGACAAGGACCCATTTCTTTTCTGTTTTGTTTAGGCCCGTCTTGCATTCTGCAAATTCATGGTAAAACCTTCAACCCTACTAGTTTTGGACGAACCAACCAATCACTTGGACATCCCTTCAAAGGAGATGCTAGAGGTTTGATTTGTCTGTCTTTTCTGTCACTGTACATTTTATTTAATTAGTAGATAATGGCATGCAAGTTACCACTTAATAACTCTGAAGAGTTGCATTTTTATATCAGGAAGCAATATCAGAGTACAAGGGCACTGTCATAACAGTTTCTCATGATCGGTACTTTATTAGGCAAATAGTTAATAGAGTAGTGGAAGTTACTGAAGGCAATTTGCAGGACTATGATGGTGATTATAATGTGAGTATTGTCTCTTTGGTTCCCTCCTTTCTTGTTCCTCTTTCTTAATGATATATCTGCTTGGATACTTTAAATATCCAGGTGGGATCCCATCTACATCTAGTAACATGATTCTCTTTCATGTTGAGAGCTCACGAACCAAAAGACTGCATCTTTTGATAATTATTATTTCCTTCCTCCACTCTTGAATGACTTGAGAGATCACTTCCTTGTCTGTAGCATTAACATGGTAAATGGCAATTAGGAGGTTGTGGATCATTGGAAAATAAATACTCATTTGCGAAGTTAATTGATGGGATTTGTGATCTGAGAGACCTGACTCAGTGACATGTTTTCCTTCCCTTTGGTTTAACTGTTGGCACCAATTTCCAATGGGCAGTATTATTTGGAGAAGAACCTTGAAGCAAGGGAGAGGGAGCTTGAGCGTGAGGCGGAACTTGACGAGAAGGCTCCCAAAGTTAAAGCCAAATCCAAGATGTCAAAGGTAAGCTGAAACAGCTCCGGTTACCTGCCTTAAAAATTATATAGAAGCAATCTCAGTTAAAAGGTTTTCCATCTATATTTCTTTCTCAAACAGGCCGAGAAGGAAGCTCGGAAGAAACAGAAAATGCAGGCCTTTCAAGCAGCAAAACAGAAGTCAAAAGGGCTGAAGAACGCCAAGAGATGGAGATGAACAATGCAGTCTATACGTTCTTCAACCATACCATGTAGACTGCAGGGGGGGGGGGGGTGAATTGATTGTCAGCACCATATGTATATAAATAGAAATTAGAAATAGATTTTTGTTCCATTGAATATATGATACGGAATGGTGCATTCCCAATCCAAATTTGTACTTCCCATGAGAAAGGATTGTCCTTTTAACCAAAATCATGCTATGTTCATCCTAAAATCTAAACATAAAATCAAAGCTCTGAATATTTATGTTATCAGAATAGAAATTAGATGCCATTGAAGACTAGTTAAATCGACTGGTCAAGGATCTCGACGCTAAAGGTTCCTGAATTATGTATCATACCCGACAATTACCCCTGAAAAATTTGCATAAAGTGAATGGTGGGGGAGGTGTTTGGATGATGAAGATGATGAAGAAATTGACCTTGAGGAGTTGGGAAAAGCATTTGCAGAAGCTGTAGGCTTGACTTCTCTAAACCCAAGTAGTCGGATGGCAAGCAGAATTCTGAGGCTGTTGTAAAGCCTTCATATATTTATGCCCACAAGGACGAGTAGTAGATAAGTACACATACCGTTTTACCAGTAACACAGGTACCAGAGCAATGTTTCAGGATTTTTTTTTTTTTTGAACAGGATTACAAATTGAGGGTGGGGGGATTCAAACTCAACTCGAGATGCACTTTACGAATCAACCTATGGCCGTTGGGCTGTGAGGCTCAGGTGTAGGTGATTTAATCTCATATATGATTAGGAATAGATATACAATTTTACCAATAACACAGTAGATAATGCAGTTGCTTATTGGAAAGTTATGTTCACAACCTTGCTAAAAGTCTTCAAATGGCAAAGGCTGATAGTTGGGTTGGAGCTGTTCTATTTTTAAAAAATAGAGTCCAAGTTGGTAATCGGTTTTCTACTTTAAGTTAATGCTAGCTATTTAGGAAGAGGAGCTGCAGCAAATTACCACTAATTAAGACCCAACTTTACGGTGTGAGGGTTATCAGATTTTCATGAGTCTTACATGCATGCCTGAAAGGTGTTGTTTAGTATTTATCTGCTGAACTTATAAATAAATTAGATAGAAAATCACTTAAAATTATATGATTTTAATAAATACTATGAAAAAGAGACTAAAAACTTTTTTTTTTGCTTTAAAATTAAGATGTTTTAGCTTTTTTCAATATGAATTTTTTAAAACGACTTAATTTTAAGATATTGTTTCATTAATTTTTTTTATAAATATAAGTAATAAAAATTATATATATAATCATTTATTTTGCAGTTTAAACTATATTGAATTAAACTGTAAAATAGAGACAGTTGAATGGGGAAAAAATCTCCAATATCAAAGAGCTTGCCTCTCATACCAGTAGTCATTGTTATTCAATTTTGTACAATCTAGATTGCACAACAATTTTTTGTTATAGACAAATTATATAATGAATAAATTAAAATTTAAAATTTAAAATTGGTTTTGAAAATTATCCCAATATAATTTATTTTCATGTTTTTGGGCTTGATCATGAAAGAGGTGGAAGCTCGGGTCAAAATTTTGAAGAGAAATGGCAGGGTTAGGCAACAAAAGAAGGGACCAAATGTGTAAACGAGAAAAAACATTTGCAGATTTGGGATCTAATTGCATCCAAATCCAATCTAAACCCAAGTCAGTAGGCCACAAACTTCTCAACCCATTTACCCAAAAAAAGGGGCTAGCCAATTAAATCCGGTCCAAATCCACTATAATCTTCTTTTTCTACTTCTCCGTTCACCCCATCGTCCGTTCCCTCCTACTCCGTTTCTCCGGTGGTCCCAAGCCCGGGAAAATCAACTGCAAAGCTTTAATACCCACTTTATCTCTACCCTGTATAGAGAAACCTGCAGAAGATAAGCTACAAAATTCAACAGCTAAAAAAAGCAATGGCCGAGCCTAGGGTTTTGTGGAATTTGTGTATAAATACGGTGAAAACCAGAGATGGGTTCGGGTTGAGGAGTCGACGGCAACAACTTACAGTGACTTGGTATTCTAGGTATGATCTTCTTTCTTTCTTTTTTGTTTTTTTTTTTCGCCGGTGTAATTTTTCTGAAATGAAAACTCCACTATTCGGCTGGAATTGCTGTGATTTTGATGTTCGGAAGTCGATGTTATATGTTATATGTTTCATCTGATTTTGAGCCATTTCTTTTCATGAATTATGCTTTATATATCCTGCTATCCCTTTGAATTTTCGAAGAACACGAAGAAGATGCTTCAACCTTCGTGTTTCTGCCGGATTCTGGGCCGTCCTTTTCATATCCCTTTGCATTTTAAGAGGCAAAAAATGTTGGTTCTCGCCAAACACCTAGGGTGCCTTAAGACCTTATGTTTACACATGTAATCCTAGGTTAGGTTCAGCTGCGAATCTGCTATAAATTTTGGTCCTCATAATTTGTTACACCATGTTTGTAATAAGCAGCGCAGAGACTGGAATGAGCTTCAAGTTTTTAGCCCAACTTGCTCATGCCCATTTCATAAATTTGACATATAGAAACTAACTTCTCTGGATTTCAATCTATACCAGGATAAAGGATAAGTGAGAGCAATGAATGTGAACTGCCAACAAGTGTTGTTATGTTTATTTCGATCTTGATTTCATATATATTAGAGTAATATATGGAAGCTGTTTCTTGCTGTTCTACTAGATCTTTCTTGTATTGTTTCTTTTCATTTCTGATTTACATATATCATAGGCTTTTGTGGCAGGCAGTGAAAAGGTCAAGATCATGGCGCGCAGCCTTCAGGATTCTGTTCATCTCGCCGCCAAGGGCGGTGGCCTTTTGATGCTCTGCCTGCTTCTCCTTTTTGCCTTAACAATTGTATCAGTTATCCTCTTCATGTGCGCAGATGGAGGAACTGAAGAGAGAAAGAAGAAGAAAAAGAATAAAGAGAAAAGGGGGAGCACATACGGTTGTGGCTCTGCCAGGGGAGTTGCTGTTGTCGGTGGCATTGGGAATGGCGGTGGCGCTGTCTGTGGAGGTGGCGGTGGATGCTGTGGTGGTGGCGGCGGCGGCGGCTGTGGTGGTGGATGTGGTGGCGGCGGTGGCTGTTCATGAATGTTAAGGGACCTGGTCCAATATGCGAAAGGTGATTTTGAAGCTGAAAAATAAACTTGATCAATGGTCGAGGCTGGGTCCATGATGTCCAGCCCAAGTCCAATTATTGTAAAAGGTGATCTATGTTTTTTATGGAAATATATTTTTATTAATTGTTTACTTAAATTTATTTATGCGGTGCATTCTCCGGCGGGTTCGAAACCTGCCTCCTTGCGAAATATGTTAAAAAAAAATAAATTTATTTATGTGATATTAATTTTAAAATTAATATTTATTTTTTTTATACAAATTTATTTTAAAAAACGATCCTAATTTGTTCCAAAAGATATTGGTTAAAAAAATTCTTCTAATATTGCAAAAGATTATCACTTATATTACAATAATTACGATTGGCTGAGGCGCGAAACTTTATGCATGGTTTCATTACCGGTGTTTTTTTTTTTTTTTTTTTTTTTTGAGCAGTATTACAAATTTAGGGTGGGAGGAATCGAACTTCAACCCTCGGACTAGAGGGTGCATCTTATAAGCCCGGCCTATAATCATTGGGTCGAGAGGCCGAAGTGCTTCGTTACCGGTGTTTTAATTTGAACATTTCCATATGAATTCACAAATTACAGCATTCCAAGCCTGAGATCTTGGAATCAGTGAAACAATTCCTATATGTCGGGCATGGTTATGCCCCATCAATAATAATGTTATAATTATGCCCATTAATAACAGTGTTCGCCTCTCAATAATAATGTTATAACTATTAAAATAATAATATATTATTTTTAAAAATTATTAATTTAATAAATTAGAATAGAAAAGCTTATACCGACTACTTGATGGTTTAAGTTGAAAAAATTCAATTCTCTTTAAATAAAAGTTTGAGTTTGAGTCTTATGAATGAAAAAATAAATGTTGAAAGAGAGTTAATGTAATTAACGAATGCAAAAATTCATTCACATATAAATTTTATATATTATATTTACACAAAATTTCAATAATTCATTTCTTCGCTATTAATAGTTGAGATTGATTTATATTTATTAAAAATAATTATTTCTTTCATTTTAAAAATCATGACAAATCTCAATTATTAAAAATAAATATAAAAATTGAGATTTTATATATTTTATTAAATATAATCATTTTTTCTAAAAAGATAAAGGTTAAAATAATATGTAAATATAATATGTAAAACTTACATATAAATAAATTCCTCTTCATATTTATTTATTAATTAACAAATTAAAATTAATTAATAAACTGATATTTTTAGATACCTTTTAAAAAAGAAACCAAAATTTTGGTATAATTAACAATATTAATGGCAGCAATATCCACACCCCTAAATGTCCGAGTCCCCTGACCTTAAATTGTTTGAAAATGTAGAAAATACTTGTCATACCTAACCTCATTTTGACCGACTAATTTTGATAACTGGGCAAATGATGCAAATCGACACCTCAACAAGCAGGGTTGTCTACACAAAAATTTCATGGAAAACTAAACTAGTGGCACTAAGTCATGAAAATTGATTTCCATAGATATTCCTTGATGATACTTTCACATATTACAACACAGTTTTACACACAGTTACACAGAGCTGGAGATCTTAAAAATATAAACTTTTAGATTTAGGAAACTGAATTAAGATAGACTAGTATAAGAGGATAGATACTCTTCAAGCTTCAAGCATCAAGTGGTAAGGGCCACTATTCAAATTTCTTAATTAGGGACAGGTCATTCAACATTTTCTCAATAGCCTCGTCGTCATGGACACGTCCTTTAGTCTGCAAAACAAAGACAATTTGTTTGTCAATGAACTGTTTAGACAACAAAAGGCAAATGGTATAGAAAAATTTACTCTCTTTATGAATAAATGCATGCCAAGAAAATATACCTTGAGAGAAGGTACCATAGCAATAGCTTCCTCCACTGTTTCAGGGCATAAATTGCCAAGAACACAAAGCTGCATTGGATAAGTAGTGTGGCATTTAGTGATTTTGCCTATGAGAGAAGATCCTCAAAATTTAAACTTTAAAGGGCTTGTAACAACTCACCTCGAATTCAGCTAACTGGTATCTACTCAGTATTCTGAATGTCAGTTAAGAATTAAGACTCATCTCATTGAAGCAAAGAAAAGGAACGTTGTAAGTTACATTCTTTATTGAAAAAGTCATAAAAGTGATAACTTCTCTCTTACAGAGATCAATTCCACACCATGCTAATTAGACACAACTGAAGTAATTGATACCATCTCCTTTCAGTTACAACAATCAATTCACTTAAGAGATAATTAGACAATAGTTTACAAACTAAAAGCCATATGAAAATGATAGACATGCTTACCATCTAAACCATTGTCACTTGTCAGGGAATTCTAGCAACTACTTCTAAAAATGCAGATAGAGACAAAGAAGTAGGCTTTTGCCCAACACCTAGGGTGCCTAAAGACCTCATGTTTGCACAAGTAATCCTAGCATCCAACTAGTTTTTGCAGCAATAGTTTGGGTTCAGATGCAAATCTGCTATAAATTTTGGTCCTAATAATTTGCCAAGCTTGTCATAAGTAGCACACAGATTGGAAAACAATCTCAAGTTTTAAGCCAACTTGCTTGTGCCCAATTCATAAATTTTGACAAATAGAAATTATTATCAGGATTTCAAATCTTTACCAGGATAAAGGATAAGTGAGAGCAATGAATTTGCACTACAAACAAGTGTTTTTGCGTTTAACAGTGAACTGGTATGTGCTCATGCATGTAAACAAAAGCAGTTTATCAGTTTAAAGCTTCAAGGATACTCTCGAACTTGTCTAACAGCATCTGGATTCTTATAGCGGCTAAAGCGCTTCACATACTGCAGTGACTTCTCAAATACCCTGTGAAACAGAAATAGACATATTAATTATCCATTTGGGTTGTTTACTAGGCACTCAAAAATTCAGCAAATTCTTTCCTTGATGAAATATCAATATTATTTTAGCATCCAATCTATTTATTTACTATGCTGGAACACATTAAAATTATGCTACCTCATAATCTACAACTTCGACAAACGGAGGCCCATGTACCAAGATCCAAATTATTGAATCACCCAGAAAGCAGGCAAGTTTCCTCAACAAATTATGCATCTTAAACAATCCAAATTGTGCATATTACACCTATGTACCGCCTAACGACTGAAAGATCCAAATAATCTAGAGAAATTTATAATCGCAAGATACCCACTGGGAAACTTGATTCATGGGATCTTCAGACATCTGCTGAAGCTGCTCATACTTGCGTTCCAGAATCAAAGCAACTTCGCAATTCATCAAACACTTGGCCTTCAAGAACTCTGTCGAAACAACGAAAAGAGTGAGATTTTCCGAAATTTAATCAATTTATTCAATTCCTTATGATATTGCATTCATAAATAAAAAACGAACAGAGGCTGATATGGTTACCGTCTCCAATTTTGAGCTCCGCAGCATTTTCTTCTTCTTCACCGGACATTCTGATAATCAAGGAGAAGAGATCAGCTAGGGTTTCTGAGGTTTACGAGAAGGGACCGGAGAAGACAGAGCTGAATAATTAGACCCCTTTATTCGCTAGATATATATAGAGATGACTCGGGAGTGGCCGAGGGGGCGGACCGAGCCGCTCGGCATTACTCAATAAAATTAAACCTAGCCGATATTTGGCCTAGTTTGGCCAATAATATTCATTATTTACATGTTTGGGTTTAGGGAATGAAGAGGAACGAAGGAAATTTTTTTTTTAATTAATTAAATTATAATATTTTTAAAATGTCATAAATTGATTGGTAAAAAAGTTTTTTTCTTTATTTTCCACAGCTTAAATATATTATAATTATGGGATTTAGATACCTAAATATTGTTTTTAATAAATAAAATTTTAATTTAGTTGAAAAAAAATAAAGAGTGGGTAAGTGGGTGATGTGACAACTCAATATACAATAATTTATTTAAAATTATCAAATTTTAATTTTAATGATAAAAAAAATATGTATTTCTATTATACAATAATTTATATTAAGTTCTCAAGCTTTTAATACTATATCACATTTTAATTTAAAAGTTAACTACTTCGATGGTGAAATAAGTACACAAAACTTAATTAATCTTCTTGGTCACACTTGAATACTTCATCTTTATTTTTATTTTTTAGCAATTACATTTTTTTTGGATGGACTGTGGGGTATAGAACCCAGCTCCTAAAACTAGAGATATGCCCTCTAACCGAAGAACCACAACCCATTATGTGTAGATAATTAGTAATTAATCAAAAATTATTTTATAATCAATTAAAGAGAATACAAGCACGAGTGCTCCTCTTATTTTTAATAATTACTAGATTAGAAAAGAAGATTAGATCTTCATATCTTGTTGATCTTATCTTTTGATTAGATCTTTTTTTCTCTAGGATGTT